ACCATGGTTTTGAGAACTTTTACTAGTGATGTATTTTAATTTATGCATAAAATCCCGTTGTACCACTGAGATCATATAATAAATGATCGATATACACTCTACCCTTAACTCCGGTCGTAATTTACCACGGTAATTTACTATAATTTTTAGTAACTTACCGTAAATTACGGTAATTTTACAACCCTGGTGAAAAGTCTCTAAACAGGACCCTAAACAGGATTTTTTTCTATCTCCGCTAATATTTAATTCTATTTATTTTTATACCAGATGGTAAAAGTCTCTAAACAATCCCCTTTTACTATCTCCGCTAAGATTTATACATATAATTTACGAAAATATTGCGATGATTACTAATTATAAATGTCAGAATGATGTTCTTAATGATTAAAAAAAAGGGGAGTTTACACATAAGTAGTGATGCGAATGGCTAGAGCCGAATCCAAGAATGGCTCAGCTAAGCATGATTATGCATGATCTACAAATCAAATTTGAGAATCAGGTGTAACGTAGCATGATCAAAACAAACGTTCATTTTTCCAAAATCACTTCTTTCTCAAAAATCTGCATAGTAAACCACCTTTAGTGCACTAACAAAAAGTTTTCCTTGTGCGATTTTACTATATAACTATTTAGCTTTTAACTTTATACGAAACGCCAACCCTAACATTAATGAACTTTAAAGAATTTTACATAATGATCAGCAACATGCATAACCGAGCACAGATTATAATCTTGCCTAAGGTCTTGAAGCCATTCATGGAGCCGCAAGCCGATGGGTCTATAAGCACATAACTATTAGCTAATTGTAGATCATCTAGTATTTTGACTTAAATTATGTTTAACTTTATTACGCATTTTGTTAAAAACTATTTTACAAAAAAAAGCCAATATGGTAAATTATTAAAAGATTTCCTAACTGGCTCAATAAAAAAATCCAAGGTTTCTCAAATACTAATAACTGTAAAGTGATCTGCATTTGAATTTTGAAAAATTCAAAAGTTTGATATTTGAATTGTGTCGATTTAACTTAATTATATATTAAGGAAGTTTTGTTTAAGTTTTTAATACATTTTATCACCACACATGTATCTAGTATTCCATACAGACTGGATCAGATGGATCTTTTTAAGGATCTAAATCTGATCCGAAAAATCAAATCGGATCCAAGTTAGAATCTGAAACCATATCAGATCTGACTTGAATTTGATCCAATCCATAGAGCTTTTATAACTTCAGTATAATTGGCTATTACAAATTTTAGAACACCTGATAAATATTTGCCGAATAATAATTTATGATCAGATGTCAAATATAAATAAGACTATGTTTTCAGAAAGCCTCTTTACTGGCGAAGAATTGAAAAAAAAAATTAGAAGGCTTATCAGTTCAAAAATCACTAACACTTAGATATTAGCGAGTCTTTTCTAAGTCGAATTCTCAGCACTTTTAAAGATATGAGTGAATTAAAAAACTTTCATAATATATTTTTGAAAAATACAGCATTGGTTTTTTGGAATGTTAAATATTGTTCCATTACTCTCTATAAAAAATTTTTATCTGAATATATCTATTATTTCTTTGTGGTCTTCATAAAAATTCTATAAAAATGATATATTCACAGATATCTGTATTAGGGAGATAAAACTTTCCATGATTTAAGGTTATAAATTCTATAAAAATAAAACATTTATAGAAAAATCATAGAATAATAAACACGGATCAATATTTTTTATAGGAACTGTATATTAACTTCATACTGCAAATACAGCATACTGCATAATCTTCCTTCTTTTTTTAAAAAAATACTTTCACATGATAGACCTATGAAATAAAAAAAATTAGTAAAATAAAAAATATCAACATAAGATTTACTAGGATACAACAAATTATAATTAATCAAAACTATAATATGTTGCATCTAAGATTTTATATATTTTGTAGATTTATTGAGATACAGTTTGTTTTGGCCTGTTTTATTTTAATTTGACTTACCAGTATGTTTGTTAGGGCATTTGTCAAAATATTTTTTAGAGTATTCTTTAGGGCATCCTTCAGAATATTTTTCAGAGCATTCTTCAGGGTATTTATCAGAGCACTCATTAGAGTATTTGTTAGAGTATTCATCAGAGTATTTATCTGAGTATAATTCAGCTTGATATAACTCATGTAATATGATTCATCTTGATATGTTTCAATGCAATCTTGTATGTTTAATTTAAAAAAAAGACTAATCAGCGTGTGATATCATATAATATTATTACAGACCCAGGTCAAGTATACCCAACTAGATCTTACTAAGAATCTGAATTTATATGGATCTAAAAATAATAGATTTGAACTCAATCTATAAGCAGATCTAGATCAGATCTGGATTGAATCTAGATTTTTTGCAGAATACTACATATATTTGTCAATCTATACTGTATTAAAAACTATACCAAAACCTAATTCTTACTTTTTGTTTGAGGTTAAATCAAAATGAAAATTAAAGTTAAAGTAAAGATCAAGTAAAAATCAAAACTAAGATAAAATAAAAATTAAAGTT